GAAAGTGCTCAACTGTCTTTTATTGCCTCGGGCTCTGCCAGGCTTAGCTCCCAGCTCGATGGCTATTTCGTTTAGGCAGTTCGGTAATTCCATCATTGCAATTGTTGCTCGGCGTGCCAGCCAATCAATCATGCCTGTCGGAAGGGGTGAAGTGGTGTTCCCTTCAACGCGACATGGCTGTTCGTTCACTATGGCCACTGTCACCGGGGCCTTCCACTTCACATGCTGCCGTTCTTCATCTTTTGAAAGCGTGAGGTCTTCCTGGATCTTTAATATCGCTGCTCCATTCTTGCCGCCCAGTACCAAGGTTCGCCGGGCCCTGTCGACGCAGGTCCACACGTCATACACTTCTTCTTCAGTGAGTTCTCGGCTTTCCATTTCCCAAGTCGTCTCACTCCCAGAGTGCAGAGAAGCACAGGCACTACTCGGGTGGCATGATGTGCGTTGCGGCAAGTGCACTCTCATGTCTCGCAGCATTCCTTCCAGTTCCACAAACTCTCCGCTTGTATTTTCGGTGCCTTTCATCCTCTTATGAAGGCCATTCATTGCGCTGTGTGCGACAATGTCGAGTCTACAAACCGAAGCCATTGTCTTTGCTATTGCGATAGTAGGTTGTGGTTGGGAAATGTGTTTGATCTTGATGGGGGATGACAGCGGGGCATAGGCTGGCTGCCTGACGCCTTGGTACGCCTAGCGGCGAACCACTGCACAGAGAGCGGCAGAGGCAGACTGGCGGCTGTCGAAGAAGCACTTTCTAGCCCTACTGTAGGCTTTTCGCAGTCGTGATAAGAGTCGAGGCTGAAGTATGAAGCTGGCTGTTATGTAGGGAGGATGTGTGCGTATGAGTGTCGATGTTAGCCTTGTGTTTAGTGATATATGACCCCGCAATCTGAACATACAGCTATAGAGATATTAGGTATGAATCTTCAATGCTGCGTGATAACCACAGCCTTGCGAGTCTTCAGGATCCAGATACCACAAGTATTTATTAGCGGTTGTAGTGATTGAGGTCCCTCCTCTAGTCGGGAAAAGGCAACTGATCGTTGCTACTCTAACTCAACCCAACTGATCAACAGTGTAGCCTGAGTCAGGATTGATATGTTGAGAGCATATGCCCCGCAAGGGTACTTGGTATACTGCACGCAGTTGCAGCTCTTTACAGGGGTTCGTCTGGCCGCCGTCTGTCTCCGATTAGTTGCACGCGCGAATTCGTTACCTTAGCCTCAAATCTCATAATCTATCACAGCTAATGCTGTTATGCTTATAGTGTGACAAACTCATTCACATCAAGTAACCCACCGTGAACTAAGCCTAAATCCTCCGGTTGCGGATCTGAGATCTTCTCAGACGCCTCCATTCAGACCTCGTCGCTTGCTCCACTCCAGAAAGCCCTACTATCATAGACCCATTCCACTGCGGGCCCGTCAACGCTCCTAAGGAAGAACAAAATCATTCGCTCAGATCGTCTAGTTGGTTAGGATGATACGTTGTGGTCTTCATCACACAGCGCTCCGTGTTGACGGCGGTTCGAATCCGCCTCTGAGCAATGACGGGATCGTGAGATCTTGGCTTTTTGCTTTTGGTCGTCCTGGATTGTGAGTTTGCTGTAGATTTTGTGGGGCCCGCCTAAGGTTGAAGGAGTTGTCATGTGGTCTTCGTTTGTTTCTAAAGTCAGGAACCAACATTTTATCGAACGCTTAACAGACAACACATCAAGGTTGTGCCTATGACAGGTCCAGGAAATACAGTAAAAGCATTCTGCCTAGGAATTGATATTTCGTCTTTAATAACCCTAAAAGATGTGGCACTCAAGCTCACATCATTTCTCTGAATAACAGGAGGTTTTTCACGTCATAATGCTATCCCATCCTCTACCACTAAAACCAACCAGTAGAGGAGTGGCTTGACCTACTATCCGCACTAAGGTAGGCGGCTTTATTGAACGACGGTTCACAAGGTGCCTGCAGGCGATGACCCGCTATGCGAACTTATAGAGGAGAAGTCAGAAAGAGGCAGATACCTCTTTCTCTCCCTACTGCTTTTTCCTTTTTCTTTCCTTCTCTTATTTAAACCTGCAATACAGACAAATCTGTAGCCGAGACAACCTCCAATGAACGGAGCGACCCTATCAATCCTGGCAGACGCTGGGTATAATATTTACAGCTGGGTTTTTGACATCGATCCTTCTCGAGACTGTGACAAGCCGCTGTTTCGTTCTATCGGCGAGCAATGCTTCACGATTCAAACGACTTATCTGCGCATTCCCCCGCATCTGGGCTTCTTTTCGCCGGGGCCAAGTCGCTTACAAGGGATGGAAGCTTGCTTTTTCGCAAAGTTAGCCAGCTTCTATCTCATTTTCTACCCGTTTCTCGGCGTGATTGGTCTTCTAGGGTCGCTGCCTCAGTCTTTTATGCGGAAGGCTGCGCTCTTGCCTCTAGCAATGACTGTTTTTGCCTGGATCCTGATGTGTATAGTAAGTCGTCAGGCAATTTATCGCTCTACTCCCGCTAACATACCATTTCCAACAGACTCGCTATCTCGCACCGGCTTCCTTGCGACATGATGGACCCACTCAAGGCCGCTGACGCTTGCCGAAGGTCTTCGCAGATTTCTCCAAGACGCGAAATGATCTAAGTAATGCTTCTCAGTGCCATCTTTCGGGCCTGGCAACTCTCGGCTGTGGCTGACAACGCACCTGTGTCCATTCCGTTACACTTTGCCCTGCCAGGAAACAGACAGGTTCATGGTCGATCGATTCTTTCTTCTCGTTGTCACAGCAGGTGAGGACTGGTTTGAGACTACCTTACATGACATCTGCATTGCTTTTTCCTGCAAGAGCTCTAAAGATCAACCTTGCAGTCACGCCAAACAGCTGGCTGCCTCTTTGGCTGGGACGTTTTCTGTCATGGAAGGGGCGCTTTTGGGGTTACCTGACTTTTACTCGACCTACCCGTGTATTCTACTTCGCCTTCCTCTAATAAATGCAGCTGTTCTCAAGAGGGCGCTCCTTCTCAAAGTCACAGGTTGCTGCGAAGGATAGTGTGACGTCCAGGTTCCTTCCACTCTGACACCATTACGTTGTGCTTGGGAGGGGCCGTCTTTCCCACCCCTGGATTAAACCATGGCCATTCTTTCCTTGGGACGTTACCAAGGCCTTGCTTGACCTGCATAAAATATCGAGTGTCTGAATCGACGTCCGTTTTCTTCCCCCTTTCTTCTTCACCGAGAGCATCTCACACCCATCGTACTATCATCATGTTTCCTATCCCCTCTCTCCGCCATTGCATTCTCCTTTGGGTGCTCGTGCCCGCGCTAGGGTGGGCGATTGAGCGCTCGCTCCGGCACGTCTTTGGAGTTGAGGAGCTTCGGCACCGAACCTCTCTTGTCGTCGCTGTATTCGTTGTCAAGTGGATGACCGCTTTCATTGTTTGCTAGGTCAGCAGTGTCATCGAAATCATCTACCTTGCACCTTAGGTCCGGGGGCTGTAATGGTCCTAGGATCCTGAGTGTGAGCTCAGGCCTGTGCACCGGACGGTAATTTTTGGAACTTTTGCCTCCTTTAGCATTGCCGCTGGTCGTACACACCCTCCGGGATACCATGCGGCCGAACCTCAATCAGTGGGTCGGGGTCCTGGTGGTCAAGACAATTCAGTCTTGGCCACACGTTCAAGAAGCTAAGTAGTCCAACAGCTCGCCACTAACTACGTTCATTGGTCTGCTAATGCATGCAACTCGACAGTTTTCTTCCATGGCCTGCTCGACAACCACTTTCGAAGATCTCTCGTCTTTCCCCTCGGGCTTAAACGGAGGTCGAAAAAGTACAGCTGTCTGAGTATGGTAGCCCGGACAGCCTCTCCCCAGACATTTTCTCTGGCTCATCGGCTTGGGTAGCAGACGAAGCATATTGGATATGTTCAGAGGGTTTCAGAAGGCAGCGACCAGTTTCTGGGGATTACGTGGGAAAAGAGCCGGGGATTGCTCTCCAATGTATCGTAGACCTCATGTAGAAGGCTTAATGGGACGACGTACTTGTGGCTTCTTCGGACATATGCCCATGGTTCTTGACTGCGTAGCAGAACTCCTCCAACGCTCAACGCACCCTGCTCACACATCTGGGTTATCCACCCGTGGCCAACCGGTGCACCACCAATATCCCGATTTGATCCTAGTCTTACACTGACTCCAGCCCGAAGAGGGTGTCCTTGATTCTCGGGTTGATGCAGCATGGGCAGAGAGGGACACTTTAGAGATGAAGGTTGCCCCTGACAAGATTCGAGGCTGGCATTCCCGCAGGATGACGAATGGATAAGAGAACCGTTGACTCAACTGATCTCTGGAAAGCTACGGCCCGAAGCATTGCCCAGCAGAGAGTCTCAAGTCGGCACCAAAGCATCGGAAATACGCCAGGCTTGGAAAATCAGATTTCAGTGTGTATCACAGAGACCGCCGCTGTCCCCTGGAACCGAAAACAAAGTATCACTTCTGTTCTCAAGAAAGGGGGAAAGCATGACTACCGACTAACCATGAAGCCTCTTCGTGTTTGGCCTGTACACTGTCTCCCCTGTCCGTCTGGACGTCGCGGAACGGCTTCGATAAAGGCAAGCGAAAGATGATGTCCGCGCGGCATGCTACGCAGAACATGTAGCCTCAATCCATCAATGAGTAGAACACAAGGTCTGCATTCTCTAACGACCTCTGATCGGTCCAAACCCCTCACCTCGGCGGTTGTCTTTTCTTATAGTACAGTATTAACACATGCGCAACCCTTTTTTTATCGTCTAACCATGCCAATGCAGGCGGTGCCGCGCCACAAATCCACCCTGCCCAAAACGCCATGCCATGCGGAGTCGAGTGAAGTTGTTCCAATACAGTTCCTTTGATCCAGGAGGGCCCTCTCAAGCCTTGTCGCAAAAAAGACTCTCAGCCCCCCCGTCCTCATTCCGTCGTCGATCGTCCCTCCTCAGAACCAGGGCAAAGCCCCCAGGTTCAACCCCAACCGCTCACCGGTCCTTGTAAATTTTGGGCTTAAACCCCTCCTTCACCTCGGCCTCTGCCTCTTCCTTCTCCACCAGCGGTCCGATCTCGCTCTCCAACCTCTCCCGCGCGCGCAGGATCTTGCTCTGCAGGTAGAAGCTGCCGCCCTTCTTCGGGTCGTTGGCGTCGAACAGCCGCTTGAAGCGCTCCATGACCTCGCCCGCATTGCTCGCGCCCTCCTTGGGCGCGTCCACGTTGAGGATCTTGCACGCCTCGTCGAGCGTCATGCCGCCCGCGCCGCTCGCCTTAGCCGCCACGCCGCCGCCGTTGCCGTTCTTGGCCTGCGCGCGCGCGTACTCGGACGAGGCCTGCGCCTGCTTGTAGGCCGCGGCGAAGGAGCGGCCGACGATGCGGGTGCCGACGAAGAGGACTTGGGTCACGAGGCGATAGGCCTGATCACAAGCAAGACTCATTAGCACCTTGAACAGCTTGTGCGATGTTTTGAAGTGGTGTTTCTGGGGGTTCCGGCGGGTTCGGGGTGGAGGCGGAAGATGCGGTGGCGCATCGGAGGGGAGGGGGCGGCAAATGGAGACTCACCATGTTGACGTATTAGTCGCAGCAGGTTCTGCGGTGGAAATTGTAGATTGAAGAGGTTGTAGAGAATCGGAATGTCGAATCTCGCACGTGTAGCGAGTGCGGATGTGGTGCGGTCGGACGGGGCAGTCGTCGCGAGGCAGAGCTGCTGGACGTGGGGGTTTGACGGCGTCGCTGATGCCAGAAAAATCCATCACGATATGGAAATTGCCGACGAGAAATTCCGAGCTCTCCGGCTGCGGGTTTTGCCGTTCCGAGTATTTTGTTTCTTTTTTTCTTGCCTCTGTGTAGGTCTGTGCTTGGTTCTTCACAATTCTGCACAACTGAAGTGACTCCTGCCAGCTGGCGCCAACAGGCGTCAACACCCCCGGTCAAGATGGGTGGCCCTGGTGGATAAACATGATTCTGAAATTTGAGTTTGCGACCATCACCAAAAAGCTCCGCTGCGCTCGTGCCCCTTTCTACGATAACGGGCTTCATATCGCCCTGATGAGCTTATTCTCACTTCATGTCAGCTGCTGCTTTCGATACGCAATAAGTCGACCGAGAGAATTTGGCACGCAAATGAACGCATGGTCCCATGCCGAGCTCTGGGAAGTTGAACACGAATGCCAGTCTCTTGGCCATCAACAACCCATGCCCTCAGCTCAATATACGGCAAAATTCTGTGACTAAGGCTACCAGCTTTGATGGCAAACTACGATTCATGCACAGTGGCAATCGTACCACTTCAACCAAGCACTGATGCGACTGACTTTCAGACTTTCAGAGACTATGTACCAGTGGATTTATGTACTCTGCACAACGGCAGTCTAGCTAAGTATCTACGGGAAAACAAGTATGTACAGAAGAGGAATGTTCTAAAGCATGGCGCCAGTGTTCACGATGACCGAGGACAAGGATCTAAGACCAGGTGGTGGTAGCACCAATAGCAGCGCCGGAGGTGGGAATCAAAAAGTTGCTCGCGGCAATCTTGCCGTTCGCCTGGCGCGCGCCCTTGACGAGGCTGACGTCGACGCTCTTGAAGCTGGCGTCGGACCACGTCGCGCTGCCGTCCCACGAGTTGCCGCTGCTGGTCGTCCCGCTGACGAGCGACGTCTGCCCGCTCTTGGCCGTCGTCTTGGAGTTGCCGCTCGCGATGTTGCTCTTGAGCGTCGACTTGGTCGTGATGGTCTGGAAGCCGACCGCGCCGTTGTTCCACGCCGTGTTGCGTGAGAACTGGAAGTTGCCCGGGTTCTTGTTGTCCGTGAAGCCCTTGGCCGCGTTCTGGAAGGCGATGCAGTTGGTGATGACGTGGTCCGCCGAGCCAATATCTGCCGCGTCGCCGCCGCCCAGCTTGAAGCCGTTGCCGTCGCCCTGGAAGTCGGTGAAGCCCCAGCGGTTGACGCCGTTGCCCCAGGAGAGGGTGTCCATGATCGTGATGGGGGACTTGAATTCCCTGTCATGTCATGTTAGTCATGCCAGGAAGGTATCAGAGGAGGTTGTAGTCTTACCAGAGATCGAGACCGTCATCGACGTTCTCCCAGAGACGGGCACCCTTGAGGATGTTTCCCGTGCCGGAGCCCTCCTTGCAGGCGAAGCCGTCGGCGCTCTCGCCGTTCTTGCGGGGGTCGCGGTTGCGGTACGAGTCGAGGTAGACGACCTGGTTGTTGCTCAGGGAGCCCTGCATTTGAAAGCCGGTCTCGTAGTTGTCGTGAGTGACGATGCGCTCAAAGTAGTTGTTGGAGCCGTCGCGGAGGTACACGCCGTACGGGCCGTTGATGATGGTCAACTTGTAGAACTTCCAGTAGTTGGCCTTCTCGATGTGCAGCACGCCGCGGTCGGCGTTGGCGAGGGAGGCGTCCAGCGCGGCGGGTGTGCCGGGAAGGGCCTCGCCGTCAAGGATCACGGCCTCGTCGTTGTACGCCGTCATGGTGTAAGGCTTGGCGGATGTGCCGCTCTTGGCGATCTTGATGTTGGTCGTGGGCGAGTAGGTGCCGCCGCGGAGGTAGATGGTGTCACCAGCAACGGCCTTGTCGACGGCGCTCTGGATCGACTTCAGAGGCGCTGCGAGGGTGCCGGCCGCGGAGTCGGAGCCGGTGGGCGAGACATAGATGTCGGCAGCCAACACGACCGGCAAGATGGCCAGAAGGAACTTGTAGAGACCCATGTTTGCTGTGAAAGAGACCAAAGAGCTAGAAGAAGGAGAGACTGCAGCTGTGAGTGACTAACAAGAAGGATCAGCAAACATGCCGTGTTAGCCGGCTGCCATCAAGCTTAAATACAAAGCTTCGGGAAGCCAACAGGGAGCCCCCTTCGTCTTGACAGCTCTCGGCCTGTACTTTAAAGCGAGCAAGCTTCATTATCCAGAAGTCAAGGACCCAGGGCACCCAAGGGCCGTTGCCAGTCTATCTGCGGCCACCATTGAAGGACCCCCTGTCTTTGATTTGGGGTTGAAGAACAACATCTCGAGCTCCCGTTGGTGGAAACAAAATTCCACAACCGTAGGGTACCTCATTGATGGAGTGCTTGGCCGCGCAAGGAAAAAAACACAGAAGGGCGGATCCATCGACATCTCCGTGGGAGAGAAATCCCGGCAATCGAGAGATTCGAGGAGTGTCCGGGATGGAGGGGTCCCCTGGGTTCGTAAGGCGGAAAAGTCGCGAAGCCTTCACGAAAAAAGACCTTCAACCAGTCGGGCCGTCCCCACGAAGCACAACACGCGCAAATATTGTCCTCATCTAGAGGATCTCACGTCCCCTCCATCTCGGAGAGCATCCGGACACGGACTCGATGGAACGTCGACCAGGGCTTTAATCGCATTAAGCAGGCACGCGATTCAGCAAAGCCGCCCGGCATGTCGGTCTTTTCGATGGAAACGTGTCCGAAGGTGTTGATTGCATCCTTTATTGCGAGAACGGAGGAGATTGACCGATTGAGGCGAACCGCGAGACTTCTGCATAGGAGGACCACGTTCAAATCTCACGATGTTTGTTTGGAAAAGCCGCATTGGGCTGTGGAGACAGACTCAGTCCACTGCCGGTATTTGTGCGCGGTACCTTGGCAGACTCTCTGCTCATTGCAAGGCCCGGCGGGATGGGTAGAAAGGGGGCCCCATATCCGAGTGCTTGGGGAAGCAGAAAACTGCCGCAGAATCTCGGGAATTGGAATTGCAGAGCGCTGGGTGGCTCGAGTCTGGACTCCTCCCTGCAAGGAGGCACTTGCCTGTTCCAGACGGCGAACCACAGGGCAAAAGTGACGCTAATTCGAACGACCCAGACTCTGGGCGCCCTCTGGTATTTCGTCTGTTGTCGGTACCAACGTTGGTGACAGGAAAACTGGATAATGCTGTGTGACGTCGACCTTTTCTAGAAACAAAAAAGGGGGAAACAAGCATCGGCTGTTGAGGTGACACGAGGTGGGTATGCAACAATCATGAGCAGTTCATCTGAAGGTCTCGGCGATTCAGGATGCTGAAAATCGGATGTTCTTCGCGCGAACCCGTGCTGATTAGATAGCTTTATCGATAACGCCATCCGATAACACTATCGATACGGCTCTAGGTCTGTGCCTGACTAAAGCTGCGCTGTGGCCTAACATACCAGGCACCAAATGGCTCCAGAGCTGGGCCCTGCCTGACGTGTGTTGAACCTCCAAAGAAGCTACATCTCCAACACCGACCGCCGCCCCAAGCTCGGGTGTCAAACTGTCCTCTCCACGCAAAAACCGCCAACCACTCCGGCGCAACGAGGCTCTCGAGCCAGCCACCTTTGCGACCACTTCCAAAACCACTACAAAAACCCTTTCGAAGACGATTCCAACCCGATTCACGGGCAGTAAACCCGCACGAGAGCCTCGCGATACGATATCGACAGGGGGTGGGGAAAGCATCATTATTCGCAACTTCACGGCAGCTTAAAACAAAGACGATGTCAAACTACTACCAACAGCCGTCCTACGGCCCAGGGCCCGGCCAGGGCGCCCAGAACCTCCAGTTCTACCCCTCCTCATACTCCCCCTCCCAGGTTTCCGGCCATGCAACCCCACAACAGGCCTCCTACGGCTACGGAGCTCAGCCCTCCGGCTCGCAGTTCGGCGCTGGCGGCGCTGGCGGTTTTGGTGGTGCGGCCGCGTTCGGCGGCGCGGCAGGCGTCTCCGGGCGCATGGGAGAGCAGGGCGGTCTGCGGACGGGCTGGCTCGCGGCCTTCTCGACGGAGGGATACGACGGGGAGCCGCCCCTGCTGGAGGAGCTGGGCGTGAACTTTGGGCACATCCAGGCAAAGGTTCGAAGCACTCTCCATGCGTGCTTGCAAGTCCGAAAATGCTGATGACTCTATAGACACTCGCGGTCCTGAACCCCTTCCGCCGCATCGACCAACACCTAATGGACGACTCAGACCTCGCCGGTCCAATCCTCTTCTTCCTGTGAGTACACCTCTGCCACGATCCCATCCCCTCCTCACCCGACACCAACTGACAAACCTCACCTCGCAGACTCTTCGGCACCTTCCTCCTCTTCTCCGGCAAAGTCCACTTCGGCTACATCTACGGCCTCGCCCTCCTCGGCAGCACCTCCCTGCACGTAATCCTCTCCCTCATGACCCCGACCGACGTCCACCCCTCCGCAACCTCCTCCGTCCCAGGCGGCGTCGGCGCGCCCCAGTACGGCGGCGCAGGCTACCCCGGCGCCGTCGACTCCCACGACCACCCGGCCGCCGCCGCGCGCACCGGCCACTTCTCCAGCACCCTCACCTTCGCCCGCTCCAGCTCCGTCCTGGGTTACTGCCTGCTGCCCATGGTCGCCACCAGCCTCGTCGGCATCGCCATGCCCATGGACACCCCGCTCGGCATCGTCCTGACCACCATGGCCATCCTGTGGAGCACCTACTCCGCCAGCGGCATGTTCTGCGCCGTCGGCAGGATGAGGGGCATGCGCGGGCTCGTGGCCTACCCGCTCGCGCTCTTCTACGTCGGCTTTGGTATCATGGGCATCTTCAGCTCGAGAGGCAGCGGGGCGCTGATCAAGGCTGCTGCTGGGGTGAAGGCGTGAGTTCAGAAAGGGTTTGGGGGCTGCATATACAAAACGAAAGTTGTGGAATGAGGCACAGATGCGGGAGCGGTGCCTTGCGACTCTAGTGGGGATGTTCAAAACGGGCGAAGGAGTCCATAGGTGTCCAAAAGGAGTCATGGATGGATAGACACAAGACAACAGCGTGAGGCATGTCAGCCATCAGAGGCTCAGCAGGCGAGACGCTTCATTCACGTCACTGTACAATAGCATAATCATGTTCAGACGAAGCCAGAATCAAATTTTGATAGTCCAATGCCCTGCCTCCCCCTTCCGATGCTTGAAAATGCGTCAATGCTGAGTAGCCCTCGTGATACCTTCGAATGATAACAGCGTCAAAGGTGTGGAAAAAGCGGGGCCATCCTAATATTACAATGCGAGACTTTTCTTCAGCCTCGCAAACAAGAGCCACGCAGTGAGATTTCATCTCCCG